AACCATTCTTCAAAGTTTCAACTAGTTAGCGAATAGCGATATATCAGATACTACTTGCGGAGGACGTTCATTTCCATGAATTAAGAAATGAAGTGCCCTTAGAATTGGGACATGAGAGAACCCACTACGGCATTCCATAGCCTGAGTAAAAGTGAAATCTACCCTTGCACGATAACGGAAATAATGTAGATATGAAGCGGGCCAATAAACTAATAGTGATTAGGTAACTAATTGTTTCAGCTTGTTGATCAGATGCAAGTGAGCTGATAAAACTGAAGCGTATGACAGTGAGATCACTTTTCCCAGTAGAGAAAGGATTTAGAAGTCTTCAACTAAGCATTCTTCGTTTGTAGATGCTCATTCCAAGCGTGACGTTGTTTAACTGTTTCTCGACCGGATTGCTAGGTTCACACCTACAAGTCATCCCGAATCTTTACTGAGGTTATGAAACAGAGCATCGTTGGAGTTGTCGCATCAAACGTACTTCAATTCAAAAAATGGGCATCGAGTAGATTCCAATATCTTTAAATCAAGACAATTTTCTACCAACCTCCATTCCGTTTTAACCCATTTCATCTGAACCTCTGGGTTAAACTTCTTTACCATACTTTCTAAAGTTCCTCGAGATTTAAGATCAACTGAGCGGTCCATTTTTTCTGAGACTATCCAGTATTTTTCAATTTCTGTTACCACCTTAGATGGAATTTTCTGTCAACATGTTCTATACTGAAACCCTCAATCAAATCTTTTAGCAAGGGCCGGCCGACTTCGTGTGTTTTGCCAAACAACTGTCTCAGTATAACGCATGCTCTACAATGATCAGACGACAATGGAAAATGATGTATTCATCTACGACCTCCTGAACCTTTCCTTTATCATAATGTAATGTTGTTACATTGGTACAAGACTAATATTTTCGTTTTCTCTGGAGCCAACTTATTTCTAAGTTTGTGAGAATGGCTAACTAAACGGAGAACATACTCTTGTCGTTTGTCATCACAATTTGGATAAAAGATAGTTCAATAATCATGTTCTGTTTTTGCTTTGATGACCCGAACTCTCGCTGAAGACATGGCAATTGTTTACTCTGTCTATACTTCAACTCTCTAACTACTAACATTTTTCCTTCGTCGACTATCTTTCAAATCTGTTAGGGTGATCCTAAAGCTAATATCACTAATTCAAACAGATAATCTAACATTGAGGCTATGATAAGAAAGTTCATTAATAGGGACTCTTCATATATCAGGAGATGCACCTGTTGGCATTTCTTCGTTCAACACTGAACATATGGGGATCTTGTTGCGTATAACAGGCATCCCACTATTAATCAGTTGTCATTACTGTATCTAAAAATTTTTTTATATTATATATAATGGAAAATCGAGGGGAAAAAATGATAACTAGTGCCTTACGTACAATAGTCATTTAAATATTCTGAAAATCTTACTCTTCTCCCAGATCGCGTAGTTTTAAGATTATTTTCAGATACTGTCGAAGTATCATCGTGCGTGCTGGCTCTTGAATGAGGTATTATAAGTGTCGGAGTCGTGTCGTTCGTTTGTATCGAAGGAAAATCGACGTGGATAGGATTTCCTTCTAAATACGCTGAGTTGAGGCGATTGATGCTGATGCTAACGTTGGTTCCGTTCTTATCGATTATAAAGCACTTGGGTTTACGTTGAACAACTTTGAAAAGTCCTTCGTATGCTGATTCCAGAGGCCATCGATTTGAGTCTCGACGAACGAAAACGTGCGTACTATATCGTAAGTCAGGTTGAACGAAAACATCAGTTGATTGTGGTCGAGTGGAGACAGGTTTAACTGAACGCACTGCGTTTGTAAGCCTGTTTCTGTAGGAGATTAGATCCATGTTCATTGAAGAAGACGAAGGATCCACGGATTCTCCTGGAAGTCGAAGTGTCATTCGATAAACCAGTTGAGCTGCAGTGTATTCAATGACAGTTTTCACCGCATTGCGATTCAGTGTCTAGCAACCATCTCGAGAAGAATACCAAAGGTTGCCGGGAGTGGTTTACCCATTGTTGTAAGAGTCCTCCGATTGCTGAGTCTGATGCATGTACTGCGATACTAATGGGCGCTTGAGTGTCCTGATGTGGGAGCATCGTTGGCTTTGCTATGGGTTCCTTAACTGTGGAGAATGCTTGTCGCGCGGTATCGTCCAGACTAATGGATTTCGCATATCCACGAAGTTGGTTGGTTAGCGGTTTCATAAGTGACGCGCATTTCGGTATGAACCGTCTATGGAAACTTACAAGTCCGTTAAATGTGTGCAAATGCTTAATCGTGATCGGTTCTGGGTAATTCAGAATGGCCACCACTTTGTCCCTAAGAGATCGGATGCCTTGCTCATTAATAGTGTGTCCTGGGAAATCTAAGGAGTCGGCTCCGATTTGGCATTTCCGAATGTTTACCGTGATGCCATGTTTTTGTAGTCGTTCGAACACAAGATCCAGATGCTGGAGACGCGATTCGCTGCCCGGAATGGCTATTAAGCAGCCATCAACATGCGCATGTACGAAGTTGAGGCCTCGAAAAACGTTATCTACGAACCTTTGGAAAGTTTGGGCAGCATTTCTTAGACCGAAAGGCATTCGCAAAAATTTGTAGAGTCCGAAGGGTGTTATGATAGCGGTTTTTGGAATATCGTCAGTAGCCATAGGGAGTTGGTTATACGCTCTAACCAAGTCGATTTTCGAAAAGACTGTTGTACCTTTCAAGGTAGCTGTCAAATCGTGAATGTGAGGCAACGGGTAATGATCAAGAGTGGCTTTCGCATTCAATCGCCGATAGTCACCAATTGGACGCCAATCGTTGCTGTCCTTTTTAGATACCATGTGCAATGGAGATGCCCATGAGCTGTTTGACGGTCGAATGATTCCTTACTCTATCATGTGATCGAATTCGCTTTGAGCCAACCTCAGCTTTTCGGGATCCAGTCGGCGTGCTTTCGAGAATACAGGAGGTCCTGTAGTCGTGATGTGATGCGTAACATTGCTGGTTACGCACAGAAATTTTGGTTGCGGTTGGTATTTCCCAGAATACGTATCAAGCAATGGTTGATAGAATGGGTCTGTCGTGTACCTGACTGTGATGGGAGATAATCTGCAACTAGAAAAAGAGGTATAGCAAACAGATAAATTAGTGTTTCCGTCTACTAACCTCCGTTTGCGCGTATCGATGATTAGATTGTGGTGTTGTAGGAGGTCTATACCAATGATTGGCATAGAAACACCTTCAACAACAAAGATCCAGTGAATGGATTTGCGTAAACCTACGTTAAGGTAAGCGTACCTTTTACCATATGTAGCGATAGGCTTTCCGTTTGCTGCCTGTAGGTTTAAAACCGATTCATGAAGCCGGTCGTTGGGATCCCCTGGAAGAACGCTAACTTCTGCGTCAGTATCGACGAGGGGGCGAACTTTCATTACCACATCTGTGACGCATAGAAGACGGCTATGTTTGCCGGCTACGGTTGGCGTAAACGCGTGCCGACTTGGAAGCTTCCCGAGTTGTTTTTCGTGTCGGTCGGTTCTGAGTTGGGAAAATTGCATGGTTTTCTGAGATTTCTGGAGGGCTTTCCATACTGGTTATGATACCAGCACCAGTCGTGGTTGTCCGTCTCTTGTGGTCTAGAGACAGATCGCTTACGTGACGTGCTTCTTCGAGGGGTGTGTGACCGTTTACGGTCGTTACGAAATCTAAGATAACGTGTAAGTGTATGACATAACTCTGTAATGTCATTCTGGGTCGTCTGAGGTTTTTCTTTGACTGAAAAACCTCAGTATTAGAAGATTTGATGATTTCTAGGATGCGGTCGGCAGATGCAAACTCACAGTTTGCAATTTGGTTTACCAGATCACGTCGGGCTCACCAATGAAGATGCACAGGTATTTGGAGTTTGACAACGCTCTAACCAGTAACACCTAATATGAATCGTGTCAACCAAGTGAGATGAAAAGAAAGAAGTGAGGAGGTTCGACAATATATTTGATGGACTACCAATATATCGAGAATCGTCTGATCTTATCTGGCTAGCGATTGCAGTAGATGTTGAGCACGGTGTTCCCATTCATAATTTGGTGTGGATGCATGATCGAGCGCCTTAAGCTAAGTGAGTCTATTAAAACCAATGTGGTCAGAATCCAGTGTCGAAAACTTACAGAGCTATTTATTTTGGGGATTTATTTACCGCTACAGTTCTGACCTTCAGAATCATGGTTTTAATCATTTCATATTTTTGTGTCATGAGTATTCTTTAGTAGATAGCATTTTCCCTTGGTACAAATTAATATGTACATCTATATATATGCATGTATATATATCCAAATATTTTAACTTAATGACTCGTGGAAATTGCGATTTGTAGATAGATACGCGTATATGACTTTCTCACTGTAGTGCTTTGTAATAAAAGTAGCTTTAACTTCAAAGTTCGAGATAAGTAACTGTTATTATCATTGCTGATTTTAAAACACGTCAGTGTCCACGGCGAAGGAAAACTGCATGGATTTAATCACCATTGAGGTCACCACCTATGAGATTGACTCAGTCTTCAGTAATAAGGATAGAAGGTCTGTCGACCTATATTAATCCTTGCAGTTTGTAGAGTCCTTTGCTTTCCGTCTTTGTTTGTTATTTTGTATTACTGACTTGTTTGGAGTCACAAATATCATTAAGAACACAGAAACATGGACATTGGGCATTTATCAAAGTTCATACAGTTCACAAATTAAAGCTAATGGATTACGTTTGTGCCTAGATCAAGGACTAAAGCTAATACGTAACATTCATCCTCTAGGAATCAGTTGACAAATTGTTTTATGAATACCGACTAACTAAATTCATTAATTTTCAGATATGGGGATCACGACGTTTTGACTGAATGACAAAAGGTTCGGTGTCCGTAAACAAGATTAATCCAGTCATTGTGAAAAAAACGGTCTCCAAGTGTCACTATTTCCATTTGAATAAAACTCATGTGGACTCCCCCAGTTAGTGATAATCCCACACCTTTCAACATTGAGCGAGAGCTGCTTCCTACAGTAATTTCGGAACCATCTTCCAAAACATCTAGTATATCTTCAACTACTAGCACTTTGGACCATGATTCTTTAAAGGAGAACTGCCCACAATATACTCCACAAAACGTCAGATACCAGCACTACCCAGTTCCGGTAATTAAAAGTACTTTGTTTTTCATGTACCATCTTATTTATATGAAATATATTCACACAATCAGTCAGCTACAACGTAGGACCAGACACGTATATGCATCGGTTCAAGTTGCCATACCTCATTAGCACAACAAGATGAACACCGGATTCATAGAAGTGGTTAGGTCGAAGGTGGTAATATATAGGAGAAAGATTGCAATAAGGATATAGTATAGGAAGAAAGAATTAGTTAGTAGAAAAAAAGATATGAAATGATTTTAATCTCTCAGTTTAAGGGAAGACAGGGAGTGTATACACCGACGCCATTGTGATAGATTCTGAGCCATGTCACAGAGTCTGCAACCACTGGTTACAATAGTCACGCGGACCCCAACTGAGTAGCCTGCATCTCCCAACATGGCTCAGACCAGATGTTAATGATATTCACACAGGTTAGTTATCAATTCACTATATTCTCATCGACTTTTCTTATCCTTTGCTCTACACACAATTTGTTATCTAATACTGAGTTAATTGGGACCAACCCGAAGTTGAAATTTCCAGAATATCCTCCTAGGTACTAGTTACGAAGGTTATTTCACTTGTACAAAGAACTGTAGTGGAGTCGATCTGCTTACCTTCTGTAATAATCGCTTTATTGATCGTCCATTTTAATACAGCTTATTAAACGATGATTATTACTGATTTATAGACGAACACCGGTGACTCCATCTATTAATTAATTATAATTAATAACCAGATACATTGATATGTACATGGTTACTAAGTAATGGAATACTTGTCTAAATATTATTACATATATCTATAAATAATACATTAGAGTCATTCAGGTCTGGGATGACTTTCAGTTTAAGTTGCTACACCATATCAACATACAGAAAGAAAAATCCGATAAGAAATAAGAAAATTGACATCATAAGTGTAAAAATAAAAATAAGAATATTATAGGGACAGTAAATAAAATCAAAAGACAAAAAGTAACTTTAAGCTCATAGTTTGGACTTGTACTATCAACAACATCACAGGTCATCAACTTAATTGTTTATAGAATGGTTTTATTTCACTAATTGTTTCATATTTTATAAATTTGGGTTTTCGTTGGTACAAGTTCTCTCCATTCTCAGTTTTTCGACCTAAAACATGGATAGAAGCAGTCATTTAGGAACCCAAAAGTAAGTAATGGGTGGTGCTAATAGCAGCCTCAGTAACCAGCCCGTTTCCCTAAAATTTTATTATTTCGTGGGCTGTATATTAGAATTCGTATAGCTTACCATGATTTTTTATCCATCAACTCAACTTGAACTTATCGATGCGAATATTACCTTTCAAAGTAAATTTTCGGAAAAACCATTCGATTACTTCATTCATTGCTGAACTAGTTTATTTAGGTGTTTATACCTTTAGAGATTGTAACGCGTTTGAATGTGGTTCAAATAGATATTAGTTAAAGCCTAGTAATTAAAGTTTTGTCTTTACCTGACATATTTATGTTGCTTGTGTTAGAGTTCTGATGCCCGATATAGCTAATAATGTTAGTGGGAGTAAGTTGGTGATTAAAAAAGTTTGAGGGTGTAATACATGTGCTGTGCAAACATCAATTTACCGAGTGCATATATTCTATTATCAGTGGTAAATATATTGTCTGTTTAGTCTACTCTCTGATGACATGTAGTTGTGTGTAACCATTCTATTAATGAAAAACAATTTATCTCATATAGATGAGTGACTAATTTATAGCGTGAACAGGCAGCTAATGATATCATCATCCCTTATTTTAAGCTTGTAAAATTCCAGTTTTTGATAATGGACAAGCTTTATATAAAGTGATCATCTCAAGAGCAGTTGATAAGAAGGGTATATTGTAAAAAAGTGTGTTGTGTAATTTTAATGTTTCAGTCTCTGGCCGAACATAAGACAAACCCAAATCCAATGAATCTAGCAAGTAAATACCACAATAACAAAACCACGGTTTTATGGCTAATAGTACGCATTTTTTAGAAATGGAGTACAATCTAGAAGATACTACTTTGTGAAATATTGTTCTAAAAGAGTGCTAAAATACAAATTCAAGATTGTTTTATTGGCTCAAGTAGATTTACTAAAAGCTCATTAAGTAGGAATAAAAATTAAGCTAGTTGACAATGCTATACTTACCACGTACTTTTACTACCAATCATATATATTGTTTTTTAAACATTTTTTTCAGAAGGTTAGATGCTTATCGTTCCCATACCAAACACTTCCCTCCTGTGAGTCGACAGTGTATTTGTATACTTGGTCTCTCCCAAGAAATGACATAATAACTCAGCTATGTTCACTTGCCACAACATGTTTTCGAGACACAAACACAACTGTCGGACTTTTGTTTTCTAAACAAATATCCAAAGTAATTATATTTGCATGAATATCTGTGAATTATTTGTATATGTTTCGATCCTTTGACTAGGTATTTTATGGTACTTTTTTCTGTTTATCATCGTGATTGTGCAATTAGCAAGCTATGGTGGTTCTAGTTGGCTTCATAATTAAACCTGATTTTTCTAAGGTTTAGTTAACGAAAGAAATAGTTCTTTATAGTCTTCACATTTACTAGTTTAAGGTGATCTATGTAATGTCTGCTTTTAGCAAATGTTTAGTTGTCGATAGTTAGCTAGTTATGTGTCATAATCAAACCTCCGTATTGCTACGATTTAACATTGATACATAACTAGATGTTATAAGACTTTCATCCCTGAAATCAATGTCCATTCGTATGAGCCATTTAGTGAGGTTCAAGCTTTTTCGTTTGCTTCCAAAAGGTAATTATTATCAGTAGTTAGAGAATAGATTACACAATTGAGAATCAGTCGTAGTGATGTCAATTAATTTATTCTATTTACGAACCTAGTCTTTGATCCACTTACTTTGTTTATCGCTTTTATTTCATCTGTTGTCCTCTAGCTTTTCTACCGTTATTTTTTTTCTTGGTTTTCTGCCTATTAAGTTTTTGTGATTTTAATATGATTTACAATAACTCCGACCATCTTACAGTGAAGGTGGTTGTGCGCTGCTTATGTTTATCTATCAAACCAGAATATACTATTATTCCACGAAGCTGGTCACTATAGGTTCTATTTATTCAAAAGACTAGTGACTTACTAAGTCAGTTACCAGAAGTGACATTAATCTGTTTGGAAAAGGTAAACATCCGCCAAATTAAACCTTACTAGTCTAAAATGAACCACTTCCATATGAATTCTACCTTATTAATTCATAGGTAAATATCGGCTTTCTAAGTGCCACCAAGCACCCTGGTATGCCTGAGGATGGGGAGAGTCAGCTCTTCTCAAAATGCTCTCACATGGCGACGCGTATACGGCCTCTTCCAGGGAAGTCCTACTCACTGCCTTCTCGCGGCAGGGGTGTTGTTTACGGAGTTGAGAGGACGAAAATTGAATGTCCGTCGCTTTAACCGGGTTGGTGGACACGGGGGATTCACCTAGAGGAGTTGGGAAACCCTGATTCCAAACAAATGGCGCACATGGTCTCCAGGATCCTGAAGGAACAGATGGTGTGTGAACCAATTACTAGTAACCGGCTACCATGGGACTGCATATCCTTACGTTGTTCCACTGCCTTGGGGATCAGATCTTTGGGTCGAAGGCTCCAGGTGTGGTCCCCTAAGAAAACCACCTGCTTCGGTCTGAGCACCCGGATAGTATCACAGCCCACGTACAAATCAAGTGACTTGTGTGGCGCATATGTATTCAGTGCCCCTTTGTACCAACATTTATGTGTTCAAATAAGTAAATGAATTTTCCGAGAAATTATTAATCAAACAAAGTCCAGTCTGAGTTTTTATACATATGATTTAGAGTACTCATTTTATTTCGAACTCACTGCTAATGGTTGATGAACTAATACCGAATAAGAGTTTGTGTAGATATCTCGGAAGTCATGTTCATAAAATCCATTTTACACCCTGATAATTCCCACCATCTACAACCTTTTTTAAATACAAAATTAAAATACAAGAATAGATTGATTGTTTCGGCATACACTTAATCGGGTACATTTCGTTTTGATCACCCCCTATTTCTACACTTAATGCACGAATAAACCAGCAACGATGTCACAAACTAATTACCTATCTGCTATTTTCATTTTGCCTTAATCTTGACGAGTAATTGTTGGTCTGGACGCAACGTAAACGAAATGAGTAAGGTATTCATGCTACTGAAGTCGTGGTTTTAAGTTGACACTAATTGGGTTCTACGTTGTTACTGACTGACTGACTAATTGGGTTTTATGAAATACACGTTTTATGTCTGACATAACTCGCTCATTGTTTCCATCAGTTGTGAGCTATCGTTTTTTGATAAAAATTGTCTAACACAGATAGAGGTCAAACATCTTCGACTCCGGGTTCAGGTTTTATAGGTGTTAAACAAAACTGTTTACATTATACACCATTACACAGCTCACCCTTTGAGAGGTATCTTTATGGGACGAAATAGGCTGAGATTATCATAAAGCAAGCTCAGATTCATCTGTCACGCCACTATCAGTATATATATATATATATATATATATATATATATATATATATATATATATATATATATATATACTGTTTTCCTTACGCGCGATTCGTCCTTTATTTTAGAAATACTGCCTGTTGGTTTGGGCATCACTGACCTGTGAATTCTAAGTTTGAACTAACATAAATGATTTTTGAGCACTTAATCAGTATTATTAACCCTACATAATTAGTATGGTTAACGTAGCTCTGATTTAAAAACTCATATATGGTTATCGAATCATATTCTGTTTCCTTTATTGACAATATTTCATCAAAAGAAATCAAAAAGTTCTCAAAGGAAAGCTTAGTAACAAATTGTCTATTTTCTCTCATTTCGAAATACCAATAGAAAGACTACGTTTGTCGAATTCCTATCTACCTAACTCGCGGTATGGCTCGTTCACGTGTTCGATTAACAGGGAAATTTACACTAAATAAGAAAGAATTAGAGTGTGTCGAATCAGCTCATCATGTTATAGCCGAATTAATTACAAATATTGCTCATATGTCTCATGTTGGTTATAAACCATCAGATCCTCTTCTCCGTGCTCATTTCGATAAACAAAACTCTTCAACGAATATCCCCGAATCTCTCCGCGTCGTACTTTTTGATCGATTTGGTGATTTATCATTCAATCCCGAGAAAGCAAATATCCTGTCATTGGTGACGCTGATTAGACTACCAGGTAAACCGTACAAACTGTTTAGTTATATGATACTTTTTAGAACTTCCGTGTCAGTGTTAGTTAGTACTAAAATGAATGTTGTTTAGGGTTTATAGAAATGCAATAAATATTATAATTGGCGTGTTTAGATCAATTATTGTTTTAGCTATATACAATATAAAAAGGCTTCTGTAATGTAGTGGTGAAAAATCGTAGGCGATTACGTGCCGAAATAACTGGGCACAGGTGAGTGATAATAAGTAATGAGTTAAAATAAGTCAGTTTTTGGAATGAAATTGCAAATTAGAAAATGGTCGAAAAATATTTCGGTGAAGAAATGAAAAGGAGTCTGATGTTATAAAAATAAGCTACGAACACAAACCAGGTTTCGTGGGCTCAATACCTGTAGCTTCAATGTTCCAACACATTGTTTCTTATTGTGATTCCATTTTTCCGTATGAAAACTTACCTTAACTTTCACGGATAAGCCAGACAGTCATGGGATTTATTTGCATATTTGCTCCTGTGTGTTCTAATTGTGAAGAGATCTAGTCCTAGTTGTTATTTTTCCCAAACTTCTACTGTTTATTAAACTTTGTTGGTTCATGCGATTTGTTTTGATTTCATTATGTTCCGTGAATCCCCTGATTGGGAGCGTCATAATTGTTGTTGATTTATTATTCTAATAGTATCTGTATTTACCGATCTTCATTGTAGCCTTTGGAATGTTCCGGTTTTCTCTCGAATATAACGAATAAATCTGGTGTATTTAAATCTCAAAACTTCCATGTTCCGCTTCTAAGCAAACATCTTTAACATTGCCTTTCCTATTCTTATCGATAACATCGTGAAGTTCGACTAAACGACCTTACTAATTTGCAAATTTCTACTGCTAAACTAAAATATGATTATAAACTAACTACTCTTTAGAGTTTTGTTGGCTGGAAGCACCACTTTCAGGCACCATGTACGGCATTTTTCGTCATTGGTATTACATTTAGTGCCACCTTCTTGTGTACATGTTACCAATAATTAGTTAATCAGTCATACACAACATAGGACCTAGCGCGTATGTGCATTAGTCCGAGTTGGTACGTCACACTAAGATGACGGTATGGAAATATCAGGACATCCCCGAGAAGGTAAATAGTCATAGTATTAGTAGTAGAAACGACGAGAGGAGGCACGGGAAGGTTTTGAGGCTAAAGATGTAAGGGGTGACGAAAGGTAAATGCATTTGCGTGTCGCAGTTGATCCTGTGCAGTTTTATCCATCGTTTTCCACTAGTGGTTATGCTAAATGCGTAAACACCAACCAGGTAGTCTACATCTATCTACATGAGTTGGTTCAGTTATCAATGACGTCATGGGCTGATGCCATGTTTTAGTTTGGCCGCCTCTACCTTTCATCTAACCTACTTCTAGACCAACGTTGCTCATCGAGGTAGGAGGCGGTTGGGCACACGTGACACATGTCCTAACCATCTCAATTGATGAAGATACACCACTCCACTGAGCAACTTACCATCTTCGTTTGCAACCTTAACTCTAATCTCAATATATTGTGTTTTCAACAATTACACGCAGTGTTTCAAAGATACCTACGTAAATCCTTCGTTGTTTGTGACGTTTCATATCTATAAGCTAGGATAGATCGAATCGCCACACAGTATGCTGGTCCTTTAGTTGTGACATCGACTTCTGCTCAATGAGATAATTATTTAGTAATTTATTCATGTATTTCGATTAGTTTCTACTTACTTACGCCTGTTACTCCCAATGGAGCATAGGCCGCCGACCAGCATTCTCCAACCCACTCTGTCCTGGGCCTCCTTTTCTAATTCCATCCAATTCTTGTTCATCTTTTTCATGTCTATTAACATTTCTCGGCGTAATGTGTTCTTTGGTCTTCCTCTTTTCCTTTGGCCTTGAGGATTCCATGTGAGGGCTTGTCTTGTGACGCAGTTGGGTGCTTTCCTCAATGTGTGTCCTATCCACTTCCAGCGCTTCTTCCTGATTTCTTCCTCCGCTGGGATCTGGTTTGTTCTCTCCCGCAGTACGTTGTTGCTAATAGTGCCCGGCCAACGGATCTGAAGTATTTTGCGTAGACAACTGTTAATAAACACCTGTATCTTCTGGATGATGGCTTTCGTAGTTCCCCAGGTTTCCGCCCCATACAGTAGAACTGTCTTGACATTTGTATTGAAAATTCTGACCTTGGTGTTGGTTGACAGTTGCTTTGAGTTCCAGATGTTCCTCAGTTGTAAATATGCTGCTCTTGCTTTGCCGATCCGCGCCTTCACATCTACATCAGATCCACCCTGTTCATCAATGATGCTGCCCAAATATGTAAAGGTTTTTACATCTTCCAAATCTTCTCCGTCAATTGTGATTGGATTGGTGCATGGTGTGTTGCATCGGAGAATCTTGCTCTTCCCTTTGTGTATATTGAGACCTACTGCTGCTACACTGTTCGTCTTCTCCTGCATTTGTTGTTGCGATTGGGATAGACGGGCCAGATCATCTGCGAAGTCCAGATCGTCCAACTGCATCCTAGATGTCCATTGTATCCCGTGCTTCCCTTCAGATTTTGACGTCTTCATGATCCAGTCGATCACCAGGAGAAAGAGAGGGTGAGAGTAAGCAACCTTGCCTAACACCGGTCTTCACTTCGAACGACTTTGTCAACTGTCCTCCATGCACGATTTTGCAGTGTAATCCATCATAGGAATTCCGTATGATATTGACTATCTTCTGAGACACGCCGTAGTGTCGAAGAAGTTTCCATAGTGTTGTTCTGTCCACGCTATCAAATGCCTTTTCGTAGTCAATGAAGTTCATGTAGAGTGATGAATTCCATTCAATTGATTGTTCCACAATGATCCGTAGAGTTGCGATTTGGTCTGTACACAATCTATCCTTACGAAATCCTGCCTGTTGGTCACGAAGTTGGGCGTCTATGCAGTCCTTCATCCTGTTTAACAATACTCTGTTGAAGACTTTTCCCGGTATTGAAAGAAGAGTGATGCCCCTGTAGTTATCACACTTGCTGAGATCGCCTTTCTTCGGTATTTTGATCAGTAGTCCTTCTTTCCAGTCTTTTGGTACTTGTTCCTCATCCCAAATCTTATTGAAGAGAATGTGGAGTATCCTTGCAGTTGCCGCTACGTCTGCTTTTAGTGCCTCTGCTGGAATGTTGTCCGGTCCTGCTGCTTTGCCACTCTTGATTTGTCTGATGGCCATGCTGATTTCTTCAGTTGTTGGTGGGCCAACATTGATTGGGAGGTCCGTGGGTGCTGCTTCGATGTTGGGTGGGTTCAGTGGAGCTGGTCGATTCAAGAGTTCTTTGAAGTGTTCTACCCACCTGTTTTGTTGCTCTTCAATGTTGGTGATTACCTCGCCTTCCTTGCTTTTCACTGGTCGCTCCGGTTTGCAACGATTTCCAGAGTTTCTTTGTTATGTCATACAGTTGTCTCATGTTTCCTTCTCTTACACCCTTTTCCTCCGTCACTGCTAGATCTTCCACATATTTACGTTTGTCACTTCTGATGCTCCTCTTCACTTGCTTGTTTACTTCTGTGTATTCAGCTTGTGCCTTGGCTTTTTCTGCTCTTGTTCGGCTGATATTGATTGCTGCTTTCTTGTTCCTCCTTTCTTGAATCTTATCCAGTGTATCAACAGTGATCCATTCCTTGTGATGGTGCTTCTTGTGACCCAGGACCTCATGGCATGTTGAAGTGATTGCCTCTTTGATCCCCTTCCAGTTGCTCTCCACAGTAGTTCCTTCTCCATTGAGTAGATCATGAAAGGCCTGGAACTTGTTGCTGAGGACTATCTTGAATTTGTTGAGTTTGTTAGTATCCTGAAGAAAGGCCGTATTGAACTTTTGTGATATTGTCCGCCCCATTGTCCAGTGCTTTTTGAGTTTCAATTTCATCTTGGCGACCAGCAAGTGATGATCTGATGCTATATCAGCTCCTCTCTTGGTTCTCACGTCCCCTATAGTCCTCCTGAACGTTTTGTTGATGCAAATATGGTCGATTTGGTTTTGCGTGGTGTGATCCGGTGAAGTCCATGTGGTTTTGTGAATGCGTTTATGTGGGAATATGGTGCCACCTATGACCAGTTTATTGAAGGCACATAGGTTTGCAAATCTTTCACCATTTTCGTTTCCTTCTCCCAGTCCATGTCGTCCCATGATGTCTTCATATCCAGTGTTGTCCGTTCCAACCTTGGCGTTGAAATCTCCCATCAGAATGGTCAGGTCCTTTGTTTGGCACTTCTCGACGATTGACTGCAGCCTATTGTAGAATTGATCTTTAGCGTCTTCATTGTAGTCGTTGGTAGGCGCATAGCATTGGATGATATTCATTGTAATGCCCTCCTTTTTTGTTTTGAACGAGGCTTTGATGATCCTTGGTCCACGAGATTCCCATCCTATAAGCGCATTTTGCGCTTGTTTGGACAGCATCAATGCAACTCCTTGTGTATGTGGGGCATTTTCTTCTTCATGGCCGGAGTATAACAGAAGCTCTCCTGAAGTTAGTCGTTGTTGTCCAACTTGCGTCCAATGTGTTTCACTGATCCCAAGTACCTCTAGGTTGTATCTTCTCATTTCTGCAGCAATTTGGAAGGCTCCCCCGGTGTCCCACATTGTACGAACATTCCATGTACCTAAATAAATGGTCGCTCTGGTTGTCAGAAGGGGCATCGGTCTCGTAACTTCCGAAGGAATTCGGCTTTGAGCATGAGGCGTCATAGTCCTTCTAAATGAAGACCTGACTCCCAGGGCAGAGTTTAAAAGGTTTGAATAATTTTTCCTGGTTAGCGTTTTTTTAGCGAGTTATTTTTCTACGGGATGGGGACGCTAACCCCATACCCAACCCTTCTCCTTTATCCGGGCTTGGGACCGGCAGTATCCCTCGGAGGGACTTCAGGCGGAGTTTCGATTAGTTTCTGCCTCTGTGTAATTAGATTAATTTATCATACCTACCCATTTTCGTTACACTAACTTATTTTTAT